AAAACAGACACACGTACAAAAGGCCATGCCCTGTCTGTCTTGAATAACTGGAAGTTAGTGTGGTCTAGTGGTTTGAGCAGTAGACTAGGACCTGCAGATCAGGGTTCAATTCCCCACATGAGCATTTAAAAAAAACCACTATGACTCTGGAAACCAGGGTTTGAATCCTGGCTCAGCCATGTAAACCCACTGGGTGACCTTGGGCATGTTGCACTCTCTCGGCCTCAGATGATGACAATCACAACCCCCTATGAAGAAACTAGCCATGAAAACCCTATGATAGCTTTGCCTTAGCCTCACCATAAGTCAAAAAATGACTTGGAGGCACACAACAACAAATCTTCTCTAAGTACCCTTTGCTCGAATTACTTCCATTCCTAGCTGTCTAAATTGTATTTATAGTTAAACCTGAGAGCATTACTTGTATGTATCTTATGGATGGGGAACCTTTTTCTCTTTAAGTTCATGTTGGAGTGTTTGTGCAACCTGGAGTGCACTGTGCTGAAGCTGTGCACCTGGGTGAACACCCAAGAAATCACATGGAGCTTGGTGCAGGCTGGAGAACTCCTTCTCCCATCCACAGAAGCTGCAAACATGACAGCACACTGAGTTCTTTTATTCTTTGTTCCACTGTTTACAGAGCTTGTCCTCACTGACAGTCCCTAGCCACATACACATCACCAACTACCCACACTGTACACTGAGGCTCCTCCCCTTATATACATGTGCCATCCCTGGGCATTTAGTCCAGCCTCTTCCTGGTGTGTACCATCTATACATATCCCTCATGTGGCATGACTGTGAACTTTCAACCACATGATGGCTTCATATCCTGCCATGATTGCATTAGACCATGTGACTCAGCAAGGTCCAAATGCTGACTCATCATGGCTCCTTATTTGATAACCCTATTACCTTTGTCCCACATCTGGACATTTTCCCTAGGATCCCATATCCTAGCAGTTCATATCCTTTGCTGCATCTGAGGGCCTTTTGCTGAACTCTGCAGAGAGCTATTTAAAACTCCAGCAACTTGCAGACTATTAACAATGCATAAATAGACTTTGATTACCTGTCCCATTCTACTTACAAGCTTTCAAACTCACACAGAAAAATTTACAAGGCTTGTTCTATCTAACTGCTAGGTTACAATGCTTTACACACCTTCTTGATCTGCCAGCAAACACCTTTGGTAGAAGGGAAATCACAGTTTTTCAGCCCTGGAATCACAGTTAGAGATTTGGGGGACATGGCAACTTCCCACCAGTTAAATCCTAAATTCTATATGGACTCCATGAGATAAAGCACCTACTGGCTAGTAATGTGAAGCAGTATCAGTGACACACCACCTGCCTCCAATTCTGGAGGCACTTTGAAACCTTCAGTATTTCATTTATCTGGCCTGAGCAGCTGAACTTTCAGTTATTTATCTCTGTAGTATATTGAACTGTGGTGATCTAGCCATTTAACACCATTTTTGAAAAACCAGTTGTTACTGACAAAGCTACCTACTGTCATGACCACCAAACCCAGCCTCTTGCAGTGCCTTGTGGAATGCCTAGATGAGAAAGAGAGACAGGTTGATACCTTTAAGAACCTCCTCCTCTGCTTTCCCAGCCTCAGGACATGACTCTTTGCTTTTCCTCTGCTGAGGATTCCAAGGAAGAGTCCTTAGCACTGTCTTCTGCTTCCTTACCTCACAGAAGTCAGCCCAGAGTCATAGGGCTGGAGTAGATTGACAGGAAAAAGAAGCTTGATCCTGCTTTTCCCCAAAGCTGGTTGAAACCCCATTGCCTGCATGGGCCACTCCCAAGGTGGGACGAATGTGCACAGCCAGGCTGCATGGCACAATATCAAGCCTCACCGCTGGATAATTTGTTTGTTGCCTCCCCAATATTCATGCATGCCATGGTGCCACCAGTGACCCCCCCC